AGGTTAGGCATGAGGCTAGCAACTTCATCCTGTGAAATAAACACTGCTACAGAAACTTCAAGCCTGTAGCTTGAAACCCTATGTTTCACTAGGGGAACGTGAAGGAAAAGGATGATAGTAATAGTAATGTTTTAATGAATTAAGATAATGGTAATTATAAAAGAGGGTTTTAAATGAATCAGAGAGAATAATAATAAGAGGTAGAATAAAATATTAGTAGTTAGTAACAATTAATAAGTAAAACATATTACCATAGTAGATTCAGAGTGACGACTATTTCCTTTTGTACACAGAGACTTGGTTTATAAACTCTAATTGCACAAGCCCCCCCCCCCCCAGTTACAAGCATCTTCCTGTTTCTTTGTCTGCTGACAACAACGGTGAATGACTTGACTGCGTCAATATCATGTCTGTAGTCTATAAGATGCTTCGTAATTGAGTTCTTTGGCACTTTGACTTCAGTTGTTTTAAACCACCTTGGTAAATGCTCTATCATACGAGTAGACAATTGCCTTTCTGTACAACCTATACAATCGCTCCCACAAACACACTGATATCGATATACACAGTTTGAAGTGTCGAGAATCGGTGGTTGACCTTTCCCAGATTGTTGAAGCACCCGCTTGGTGATGGTGTTAAGAAAGACAAGTTTTGCAACATAATAAGTTCTCTTGACGGCTTTGTTGAGTCTTTGTTTGACTACTTCTTGTACATCATCCCCTTTTAACTGCAAATTTCTTTGGAACTGTTTTTGGATAATTTTACTGGAGCTCATTTCTTTAGAGTATTTATTGCTGAAATTCTCAAGATATCCATTCCTAGATAAAGTGTCCTACAGAGTCTTCATTTCATATTCACAATTGTACTGTCATAACTAATTTTGCCTGCTCTGTTGAACAGTGTCTTGACTAATTTCTTTTTATATATGGGATTGGAATAAAACTTTTAAAATAATAATAATAATAATAGTAGCACAACAAAGATCTACTTACGTAATATTCACTTTCAGATTCACATTGTGACTTCATTGCAGTTAGTGCTCATTAGCATTTCTTTTATTCTCATTTTCAGTTTTCTGTGCTTAATGCGAATTTCACTGCCTTTATCGACTTTAACGAGTGATCCCAACACTGGTGATAATCATATTTTCTTTTCTAAACGTAGTTTGTCATCTATGAATTGGCTGAAGTTAGTATTCATGGATTAGATTAGAGTGGATTCCGTGCCAGTAGCTGAATTACAACGGGCTCACCTCGTAATCTGAAAGCCCTGGGCCCGATCCTCGATGTGATCATGGGTACATACTACATAGGAGTCCTAGTCCAGGATGAAACGGTTGTCCAGTACTCTTTGACTTTCACTAGTTGTCTAACTGATATCAGTTCAGGAGTAAACATGAAATTAAATCTTCCAGCCTAAATGAAAGTAAATCTTTAGCCTTGAACTGATTAGTCCTGGCAGCCATGAATCCCATGGTTTTTGTGTATTTTTAAGGGTTTTTTCGTGTAATTATTGAGAAGGTAACTCATTGTTTCACTAGTTAGATCCGGATGAATTGGTGTAAAAAGTTGGGTTATATTAAACAAAATCAGTTTTTTCGAGTATTGGTTTGTAGGGATTTGGCTGATTGGTTACAGGATTTCATCACGAGCTGACATTGGTTAGAGAACCACTGGAAAACAAGCTGGGAGTAGTGGACAGCTGTTTCGTCCTAGTTTGGGACTCTTCACAGTATGCACCCACCGCCAGGGTTCGAACCCAGGACCTTCTGGTTACAAGGCGAGCTCGTATGCCAGTGGGAAGTCGTGAACAGTAGAGTGCAGCAGGTCGGGTGTGAGGACAAATACTCGCCGACGACATTGGTTAGTGGTCGCGCTATACCGTGAATTGGCAGAAGTTAAAATTCATGGGCCATTGGATCGGGTCCCAGTGGCCTAATGGTATACGAGCTCGCCTTGTAACCAGAAGGTCCTGGGTTCGAACCCCGGTGGGTGCGTACTGCTGAAGAGTCCCAAAATAGGCTGACGAAATAGCTGTCCAGTACTCCCAGGTTTTCCAATGGCTCTCTAACTAATGTCAGCTCATGATGAAATCCTGTAACATCAGTTTTATCTTAAAATCGTTCAGGAATTGAAATCTCCAACTAACTATGTTTGATTGCCTACTAACTTGGTGTTTTCCACATAATTATTTTAATAAATAAGGCGATGATATCTCTATAAAATTATTAGTATCTAAGTCTTAGAGATCATTATTTCCCTGTACTTTTGGTTGATTGTAGAATCTTTTGACTTTAATCACATCAAAGTAACAAAGGTGACTAGAATGAATTGTGATTTTCGTGTGTATTCTTATCCTCCAAACTTGATATTTTGAATGTTGTTGTTGTTGCTGTTATGTCACGATGATTGTGAAAGAGACAGTAGGCAATATTCAGCTGCACTTTTGATGTTGTCCTTCCTCCTTCAAAACATATACTTTTCTACTTTTATTAGACATTTTAATTTCCCATTAAAGTAATTTATTTAAAATATAAGATTGTGAACTCGGTAAGAAAAAAGTAAATTGTCCTTTGGATAGTTCAAGTGGAAACATCCTTATAACGTCAGAAGACAAGGGCTAGGCAACTGACGAAATCAGCAGATATTTGTAGATTTTTATGTACATTATTATTCGTTATTGTTAGCAGAGAGGTAACGTCTTCTGATTGGTTGTTTTCCTGCTGAAGGTTATTCTGTCATCTCTTTGTTGCCGTTTCTTAGACAGTCAGGTGATATATCTGTGAATCGTATCCACCCACGCTAAGTCTGCTGTGATTGGTTGTTGAGTTAGTCTTTGTTCTTGGTTTTTCTCATGACCAAGATTTGGGACGTTAAACATTGCTGTAAATTACTGTCTACCAATTTTGGTTAGCAGACAGCTCTCACATCATCCTTATCTAGGAAGTATCGTTTCAATTACAGGTGGAACGGATGAAGATATCAAAGTCAGCCAGAATCGGAAAAGTAAGATACGCCTTCGTCAACCAGAAACCAGTATGGAAATCTTCTGCACCTAGCATAAGGAATAAGATTCGGATTTTCAACACGAATGTTAAGTTAGTCAGTTCTTTTATATGGGTCAGAAACTTACACTGCGTGTCACGAAAAGGATTTCCAACAGGCTGCAGACTTTTATCAACAGCTGCCTTAGCTGGCCCTAAACTGAAAATCAAATTGCAGGCCAGAAAGAATAAATAATAAGAAACTATGGGAACAAACCAACCAACCAAGAACTGATTGTCCAACAAATATGCAGGAGAAAATGGAGATGGATCAGGCATCCATTGAGGAGACCGTCGAATGACATCGCTCGCCAGACCCTCGAGTGGAATCCAAATGGGGAATCGTCGAGTGGGTCGTCGATGCGAGGGTGACATGGAGGAGATCGTTTGTGTTGGAGGATGAGATGAGAGATTATGGTCAATCGTGGACCCAGTTGAAGACGACGGCAAAAGATAGGACAAAGTGGAGATGTGTTGTTGCAAACCTATGTTCCACTCCGAATGCATGGGAACAATAATAATAAGTGAAAACATCAGCATACTCAATATGTCGTTCATTTATGATGCGTATCATGTCAGCATATCTATTCATAGGTATTCAGTATACGGAAAGTATTCTTATAGATTCGGGTACTTGCCCTGAGTGCGCTTGTCAGCGCCAAGCAAGATCTTAAATCGCGTTGTCGTGAAAAGACTAAAACATGCCCTGGATGCAAAATACCACCCGGAACGAGCTAGATTCAGGGAAGGCAAATCATGTACTGACCAAATTGCAGCTCTAAGCATCATCACTGAACAGAGAAGAAGGCATTCGACAGCGGTGATTGCAAAGTACTTCGGAAATTGCTGCAACACTACGGAGTGCCCCAGCCTTTAAAACCACATTCAACAGTTGTATGATAATGCCGCATGTCAATTGATTCACAATGCAACACTTAGCGATGACTTTGAAATCAGGAGTAAGGCTGCATACTATCACCGGTGATATTTCTAATTGTGGTGAACTGGATCGTACAAACTGCCGTGAGGAGTGAGAAGACAAGAAATACATTGGACCGATAAGAAGACTGTGGAAGATTTGGACTCGAAAATCAGTAGGTGAAAACAAATAAGTAGCCAGAAGAAGCAGGACTTCAAGAAAACATAGAGAAGGTAGAGGTAATGAAGATAACCAACCGACAACAAAAGAAAGACAAGCACCAGTCACTGTCAACGGAAGAAATTGACGTCTTTCACTTATCCAGACAGCATCGTTTCGACTACAGATGCTACAGATGAGGGATATCAAAGCCAAGAAGGATTGGCGAAGCAAGACAGGCGGTTATTACTGTGAAATCAGTATGGAAATCTTTTGCACTCCACATAAAGAACAAGATTTGGGCTTTTAACACTAACGTCGAGTCAGTCCATTCAACTGGTTCGTAGTCTTTATGGACCGGCTAGGAAACTGCAGACTTTTATCAACAGCTGCCGACAATGGCTCAATATTTGATGGCCAGGCTGAAAGGACAAGCAAGTAACAAGCAACTCTCACAATGAACTAACCAAGAACCTACTCCTTAACAAATGTGCCGAAGAAAATGAAGATGGATTGATACACCTTGAGGAGTTCGTTAAGTTACATCAGGAGTCACTTAGACCTTCATCAAGTGGAACCCGAAAGGGGAAACGACATGTTGGGCATGGGTCCAGGGGTGACTTAAAGGAAATCATGTGCGAAGGAGACGAGAGCTTTATGGACAACTGTATAATCAGCAGAAAACAATAAAATGGCGATGTTCTGTTAAGGGTGTATGTTCCACTCCTCTGAATATATAAGGGAATAATTAGTAAACTATCCATCGTAATTTGCTATACATTGATTCTAAGCTTTATTACTGCTAATTTATATTTTATTGTATTTAGCCTGTGCTATCTAACATACTTATAAATTTCCTTTTCCTTTAATTTCTCACAGCAGCTATTCGGCATGAACCTCATAGTATACCCCAATTGACCAGTAAACACAACTATTCAGGAACACAAGAACTCCACAGAAAAATGAGTGATTATATATCTGATGTATATGAAAGTCATATCAATCATTTTACATCGAATTCAATGAGCAGTTTTCAAAATGTAAGCTATTTCATTATGTCATATATATATATATATATGTTTATAGTACTCTTACCTTTTCCCATCCTACTGTATGATTATATGCAAGTAAATGCACTGCGATGTTTGAGCCTACGTTAACTCCTAGCTTAGTGATAGGGAGTGAAGTGATAGAACATGTTGACCATTTCACCTATTTGGGAAGTTGTATCATCACCAACAGATTGATTGGTGACGAAATCTCAGCACGGATCCAGAAAGCTCGGGCTGCTTTCGCTAACTTACACCGTCTCTGGCGTAGGCGTGACATCCGGCTATCAACCAAGGGACGTGTGTACTGCTCAGCAGTTCACTCCGTCCTTCTCTATGGCTCTGAAACATGGCCAATACGAGTTGAAGACATGAGAAGGTTGACTGTTTTTGACCACAGATGTTTACGATCTCTTTCTCACGTTGGGTGGTATAATAAGGTAAGTAATATCGACGTTTAGGCGTAGAGTGTTGGGCAAAGAGGGAAAGTCAATCGACGAAGCTATAAAGTCACATAGATTGAGATGGCCAAGTCACGTGCTGCGCATGCCTAACCATCGCCTCCCCCTGCCGACGGGCATTACTAGCTGATATAGATGCAGGTTGGAAAAGAGTAAGTGGTGGCCAAACAAAAACATGGCCTCATCAATCCATGAAATCCTTGACAGTTAAACTGAGTCAGGCAGGGAGGGAGATGTAGACTTCCGGGTTGGGGCCCTCGGGACTCTAAGAATCAATGGCTGGAGACAGACAATAGGTGACATGGCTCAAAGTCGTTGTCAATGGCTTACGCAGATGTATTCAGTCTCTGTAATATTTCATATTCCTTTCTACCATTACTCATTGTGTTTCACTCTTATACTTGTCAAAACTCTATTGATTCTCTTCACTCATTTTCTTGTCTACCTATGTTTGCTATTTGGAACGTGGCAACTGGAACTGGTGCACTTCGGTGCCAAGTTCTATGTTGAATCCAGCCAGCCATTAACTCGATATGATTATCAGCGATAAATTGTCTTCAAGACATCGTCCAGTTAGCACTGCATGTTATGTCAAGCAAAACTTATATTGAATGCTGGCGAACTACACGTATTATTCTCAACACGACCGATGTTGCTACTTCGACTGAAAGATGAAGTGTCTAGATTACGTAGCCACTTCAAATTGTATCTACCAATTCAACTGCGCCTGTGGTGGAGCGAGTTATATTGGCCGTTACTCTAGGAACTTGATTTTCCGTACTCGAGAACATATCCCACTATGGATAAGTAAAGGTTTGGTTAAGACCATTAACAGTTCGATATTGGACCATCCGCCAGTTTACTTCATGTTAAATAATCAGACGTCGTCGAAGCATCCAAACAAGGAGCCTAGGACCGAGCACTTCGGTCTTATCAACCAATGGGAAAGTCCAAAATGAATTAAGTAATTTTCAAAAAAATGGATACTGAACAAAGAGTATTCTTTTCGATAACTTCATCATCAGGCTTTACAGTTATATGCACATTATAGTGAATGAATGAATTAGTGTTATGAACAACATTAATGTTGTTTAAATAAAATCGAATCAATAACAGTGATAGATTACAGCTCAATAGCATCAACATAAAATAAGCTGAATGTCAGGAAAATTAGGGAAGATAATATTACAAATTCTCCCACCATGACTAAGTAAAGGTGTAGTTAAAACCATTAACGGTTCGATATTGGACCATCTGATGCAAACCGGCCACAAAGCCAGCCAGCGTGGAAGAATCCTTCTCTATAATCTACCGGGTGCCTAATAAATTGCCAAAATCATCATCGAAGCACCGCATGCTCCAAACAGCAGAGGCTATTGCAATTCGCCTGAAACAACCAGTGCTCTGTGTTCAAAAGAAGCAAGTCCAGCCCCTACTACTTCCCTGGCCTTCAGTAGAGACTATAAACTCATGAATCTGTAATATTATCTCTCCTAATTTTTGTGACATTCAGCTTATTTTATGTTAATGACATTGAACTGTAATCTATCAATATTATTGATTCGATGTTATTTAAACATTAATGTCGTTCATAAGACTAATTCATTCATTCACTATAATGTATATATAACTGTAGAGGCTGATGATGAAGTAATCGAAAAGAGTACTCTTTGTTCAGCATCGATTCTTTTGAAAATTATATAGAATTCTTAAGAGTTAATTTGTAGGGTCTTGATTTATTCCACGTTTGATGATGAATTAATATCAGTTAGAGAACTATTGAAAGCCAGCTGAGAGTACTGGACAGTTGTTTCATCCCAGTTTGTGACTCTTCAGTAGTCTGCCCTCGTGATCCCACTAGAGATTGAATCCGAAACCTTCAGGTTACAAGGTCAAGATTGTTGACTATTCAGCCATTTGGTCTGGAATTCAGTGACCTGTGAATGATATGTCTACCACACTGTCCGAATTCCACACTTTGCACTATGCGTTGAATTACTTAGTGAGGTTTAGTCATTCGAGGAAGGTAGTTACCCTTCGCGTGGGCCCACAGAAACTAATAATAATAATAACAGCTTTATTCCAAACAGTATTTGTGGTACAGGTATGGAATTTTCAGCGTGCATCACAATATTGCATCTAATTACCTCATAAATTTTATAAGATTTTAAAATCAAAAAGCAACAACAATAAAAATACAGATAAATAAAAAGAAATAAAAAAGAACAGAGTTGCATTCACATTTTAAACAATGCACCACTGGAATATAAAATATAAAATTAATGTGTAATAGAAGATGTGAGCAACAATATAATAGTAACGAAGAAAGAAAAACAAAAACTAATGGGACTAATTATTAGAGTGCCGCAGTAAGTTGATCGTGTCATACCTAACGGATTTCTCATCACATAACAGCTGTGTCAGATAAGGTATTGTGGAGTTTTTGTACTTGGTAGTCCTAGCATATAGCCTCCTATAGCTGCTTCTAGTTCTACCAGATGAAATGCAAGGAGAGAGCTGCGTATAGAGAGGGTGTTCGGGTTCTGACAATATAGAATTCGCTAGTTTCTTACATGGCATTATATGTCTGTCCATAATAGTGTTAACCAGTTGGTTTAACGAAATCCCACTTCCCCTACTGACAGCTTTTAGTGCCCTACGCAGCGAAGCAAAGTCTTTCTTAAGTAGTCCAGGAAAGATTAATGGGGAGTAGTAAAGAGGGATGTTTGGAATACAAGAATTGACAAACTGACAAAGCAAAGACTGCTTTATACCAGACTGCCTAAACTTCATAAGGTAGAACGTTAAGCGAAACATCTTTCTAGTCACTAGCAAGATGTGAGAGGACCAGGAAAGATCGGAGGAAATACTCAGTCCAAGGTACTTGACATCAGGTGTAGTTTCAACCTCTATGCCTCTAGTGAAGTTAACACTATTTATTCCATTTCTTACTTATAAATGTAATTCTGAATTTCTTTGCTTTGATATACACCTTTTTTTTCTACATGTATTTGTAGTCTGCAACAACGACAACAATAGTTTGTGCTCCATCTCTTACTGCCTCAACAAAGGCTAATCTGAATAATCCCCATTGTATTAATACCTCAAATAATTCAATACCTGTGACGTCAAATTTACCGGTTAAAATCTCTGATGCTTCCTCTCAAACACTACCAGAAATAATTGATTTAGACGGTCTACCGGCTTCACTGTCAACATCATTTTCTACTACAGTAGTAGTGACAACCTCGGAAATGTATACCAGTACGCATGACAATCATCATACAGAGAATGATAATAATAATAATAACAATAATAATAATAATAAAAATGATTTTAGGAGTAATAACAACAATAACAACGATAGTGATACAGTGAAAACTGAACCGAATGAAATGAAATTTAGTGTAGATGATTCTGGCAATCCCAATACAGTATCTCAACAACAACAACAACAGCAACAACAACAACAACAACAAAATTCTCGTCAAAGAAGAATGCCAGCGTTAAAACACTTACAGTTACCATCGACATGCAGTTCTACACTGTTACGACAGACAAGTATTCCTAAAGGTTACTTTTTATCAACACCAGAAGTTATCAATGAACTTGGTAGGTTGCATATAGCTGTGTTTTTTTCTTCTCTCATATGAATAATGAATGCACTTTGTATGTCTATATAAAATTAATTGTAATCAAGTTGAAAGTAAGTGCGTCGGTGGCATAGCGGTTAGGATGGTCGTCGACCATGCACATGGTCCGGGGTTCGATCCCCGGCCGACGCACTCCTTTACCTCTCTAAGCCAGAAATAAAGCTGGTAAAGGGGAAAGGTTGGTCATGAGACTAGCAACTTCATCCTATAAAAAATAAACACTGCTACAGAAACTTCAAGCCTCTAACTTGAAGCCCTATGTTTTACTGGGAACATGAAGGAATAAAAAAAAAGTTGAAAGCAAAGCTTTATCTGGTATTTTTTCCACACAAGACTCAAGCAATACAGTTTTTGCGTTAATTTCCCAACATACTTCTAAATTAAGTGATGAAACGTAGTTCCAGTGGTTTAGACATCTGTGTACTGTCGTGACTGAGGATTACTCTGAAGTATAATCAAGATCTTAACGTATATAGATGAAGTGTGAGTTTGCAGGGATTTGATTGGTTACGCGTTTGAGTATAAGTTTATACCAGTTAGAGAATCCTTGGGAAACCTAGGAGTGCTGGACAGCTGTTAAGTTCTGGTTTGGGATTCTTCATCAATATGCGGCCACCCGTCTACGAGTTTTTTTTTATAACCAGAAAACCCCGGGTTCGAACCACTATGGGGTGAGTGCCAATGAAGAGTCCCAAGCCAGGACGAAACAGCTGCCCAGTACTACTACTAGGTTTTCCAGTGTATCAACCAGTTTGCTAACTTACACTATTTGTAACAATTTAATTGCGTGTGTCTATCCTAAGATTTTTGATGTTATTCAATTCATTCTTTTATTTCATCCTTTATCATGAAAAGCTTTACTTTTCGCCTATTGAGCCTACTTATTTTAAAGACATAAAAAGTAGCAGCAAGTGTATCTGAGTAATGTCAGTTTTGTTTCTTTTATATCGGTGTCCGTTCAGCTTATTACAGCTGACACTCAATCGATAGCTGCTACACTGGAGTGGTAGTTGGATTTGTGTATGCCATTTGACAGATTGAGATTCAGCATGAAACTTTGCAGAGAAGTGCAGCAGTTCAAGTCGCTACACTCCATGTAGCATAGAAAGAGAAAACAGAGGCAAAAGAGATTTAAAAAAAACTAAAATGCTCAGAAATGTACGGAAGAAAGGTTAGTAACATGGAAAAACATAGGGGGGGGGGCTTAATTGCTATGGGAGGACACAAAGAGTGAGTGCATGTACTTCACTGAAAACAGTATTGAATCATATCACTGATTGTCTCCAGCCATTAGTTCTTAGCACCTCGAGGAGCCCAACCAGACAGTTTACACCCTCTGAGATGTATCAAACCAACTGTCAGGAACTGCACGGATCGATTCCAGGTTTGGGTTTGACCATCTAATTACTCTTTTCAAACCCAATCTAATGTGAGGTAACATTGGTTATTGTTTTGCCCTAGTTTGGGACTTTTTATCAGTACGCACCCACCATTCAGTCAGTGTGAAGACATCGCTGATTGACTTTAGTGTTCGCTATCCAATCAATGGGTCTTAGGTTCGAATCCCACCCTGGCTACTTCAACCTGAGCAACTGAGTGGTATCACCAGTCCTTACACAATGACTGTGGCTCATAGCCTAGTACGTAAAGAGTAATTGAGTTCTGAGAATATTTATTTCATGAAGTGTGTCAAGAAAAAGGATTTATGCAGAACCAATATTTTCTAAAAATTCTATAGATCCCTCTTGGTTAACTTCGCAACGCAGTCTAACTGTAAAGTTGTAAATGCTTTCATTCGGTAACTGGAGCAAGTATGATTAGTGTATTCATCAGAAAAGCAAAAGATTCACAGATCCATCATACGTTATTCTAAGTTACAATCGAAAATTGTGAAAGTGTGTACCCCTTCAATTTTCGTTATGTATAGTTTTTGGTGTAGAAATAAGGAATGATATAGCTGGCTTCACAAGAGCAGGTAAATTGATAAACGCACTTGGAATTGGCCAGTTGTGGGATCTTGTCCTTCAGCTTATTGAGCAGTAATAGTCGACTAGAAAACGCTATTCTCAGTGATGTTGCAGCGAATTTTGCCTTCAGGGACCGTGAGATCCTTCTTTTAAGGATGTCAGCAGCTAAGACATCTTTGAATTCAAGGTCGTGACACAGTATTTTCTTGGTTACAGATGTTAAATCACATGTCATACGTTTTAACTGTACGCTCTTGTCTATGAAAGGTGGAGAAAATCCATTTTCCACTAACAATTTTCTTAGAAGATTTAATTCATCCTCAACAGCATCAGGACTCTACATATTCGCCGAATAAGAGTGGCAAGTGATCGAATTAAGTTTTGTTTTCGGCCAATGGGTTCCCAGTTGGCCATTTCATGATAGCTTTCTATGCATTGATCTACTCAGAGTTCTGTCGGTCCTCCTTGACAAGTTCACATCGAGAAAATGAATGTTATACTGGCTCCCCATTTCGAGTATGAATTTTATCGCGCTGGATGGCAACCACTATATTATATTGTTACTATTTCCTTGGGTTCCGAGTGGAACATAGGGCCTTAGCAGGACATCTCTATTTTATCCTGTTTTCAACAGTCGTCTTTAGCTGGCCCCACAATATTCCATAAGCTCTGATGTCCTCCTCACATGATCTTCTCCATGTCACCCTCGGACCCACGTCCAACTCGTTGCTTCCCATTTGGTTTCCACTCGGGGGCCTAACTGGCGCACGATGTCACCCAACGGTCTCCTCGGTGGGTGTGTTTTCAACCCATCTCTACTTTCTTCGGCATATTTGTTGAGCGATGAGTTCTTGATTGGTTCATTCCCAGAGTTTCGCGTTGCCAATCCTTTCTAGTCGACCATCTGATCTTCATTGTAGAGCCAGCCAAGGCAACTGTTGATGTTAGTCTGAAGTCCGTTGGAAATATCTTTCGTGATGCGTCAGATTTCCGATCCATATAGAAGAACTGCATTAAAATTAATGTTAGGAATCTGAATTTTCTTCTTTTAATGCTGATTGCAGTCGGTGTTTCCAAACTGATTTCAAAGTAATGTAGGTTTATCTAGCCTTTTCGATGCTGCCTTTGACATTCTCATCCATACCGGTTGTAGAGGGGAAACGATGCTGCCTAGATAAGTGCAAGAGGCGATTTCCTTCAAATTTGATCCTTTTATAATGATTGGTGCTTCCTATTGTTGGCTGGTTATCTTCATCACCTCCATCTTCACTATGTTCACTCGGAATCCTGTCTTTGTTGCCAATCTCTCCTGTCAACTTGTTGGTTTTCGTCCGTAAGTTTTCGAATTTATGTGACATCGTCTGCAAAATCCAAATCTCCTAGAGTATTCTTATCGGTTCAACTTATTCCTGTCTTCTTGCTCCCCACAATCTTCCGTATGAATGTCATAGATGATAGTAAGCAGCCTTGTTTTACTCCTGTCTTCATTTCAAAGGCTCTGGTGAGTTTTCCGTTGAAAATCTTCAATTGCTGACTTCAGTTGACCATTCTATAGACTGGCCATAAAACAGTCTGCAATAAGATGACCCAAAAGGAGATACCATGGTAATACCGTAAATTGTATAATTGAATGTAAATTTTATATTCAATGTATATCTCAATAGTAGTTCTTTAAAATACATATTAAGGTATCCTTTATTTAAAGAGAGGTGGGAGATGGTCTACAAAAAGTACAATAATTGAACATTTGATCAACACTGGTCACTTAGCAACAACAGAAGATAAGGTCCAGGCAACAGATCGTTTATTTAGGAAATCAACATATATTTATAGATTTTCATGCACATATTATTATAGATTATTGTAAGCAAACAAACACAGTCTTCTGATTGGTGGTTTCTCGCTGTGAACGTTAATCTTTCATCTGTTTGTGGCCGTTTATTGAAGTTCAGACTATCTATCTGCAAATTGTATCCGCCTACGCAAAGTCTGCTGTGATTGGTGGTTGTTGACTCAGTCTTTGTTCTTATTTTTCTCATGATCAATATTGAGGACGTAAACATTGACGTAAATTACTGTCTATCAATTTGACTAGCAGCCAGCTCTCACCGCAACCTTATATCTACAGGTTATTCTTTTAAAATTATCTACAAGGCGAGAAAAAATAACCTGCCCAAATCTTTGTAGTGCTTTGTTGTAAGGGGTTTTCAGAATTCATCCTTAGTCTGATTGATGGTGAATGAAAGACGACTGCTAAGAGAATTCATCATAACTATCTTATATATCTATAGTGTTCTACGTGTTCTAGTAATATAATGTTACTGAAGTGAAATCGTTAATCACCTTTTTTGTATAAGTGTGTGTAAGTTATGTGATCTTTTACATGTATACACTTGTCTTTGTGTGTATGTATGTACTTGTTTATTCAATACTTCTGTGGAGAATATGAATATGTACTCAAGTATCAATGTATCCAGGATTGTTATAACTCATTCTGTTCAAGTGTACCCGATTCTGGATGTAGTCGAAGTATTTATTTCTAAGAATTGGTTTGTAGGGATTATATTGAAAGCCATTGAAAACTAGGGAGTACTTGACTCATCGGTAGCACGCACCCACTGTGTTTCTACAACGACTTACTACAGGATGGCGTTTCCTGGAGTTCTAGTGCAAAGTCGTGACCAGTGAGCTTCATCTAGTCGGGAGTGAAGGTGGAGTTCCCACCGATGATATTGGTTGCTGAAATCACGAATCGCGCTAGCCATTGATTCGGGTCCCAGCGACTGAATGATCTACGAGCTTGTTTTGTAACCGGAAGGTCCTGGGTTTGAAACCCGTACTGGGTGCGTACTGATAAGGCGTCCCGAACTAGGATGAACCAGTTGTCCAGTACTCCAGTGCTGGTTTTCAGTAGTTCTCTAACTGATATCACTCCTTGGTCTGACGTGAATCATCCATTCTTATTAGCACCTTTATTATCTTCAGATCAGTG